AACCCAAAGCTCCATGAATCATCCAGACAGCGCTTCTACCGCACACGGAAATCATGTATGAGGTCTGCATTACCGGATGTACTTGTGTGAGCGCCCTCAGGATTCAAGCAGTGTAGATCTGGCCTGTGCGTACTCGTAGTACGCAGGAAGCCCGTTGGTCGGCAACATGCATTAGCGAATTCCAACACTCAAGTGACTGTCTGGGAGCTTATTGCGTCTCATGTTTTCAATGATGTAGCAATTCCAAATGAAGAGCTCAGTATGTCAGTATGCAATGCTGCAATGCACTGTCAGAGGAGACTGTTTCTGCCACAAACAGGAAATGAAATTTTGACATCGATGCTTGTTCAGAAGTGTATCTTGTTTGGGCCGCCTTTGACTGCAGTCCCCTGTTTCTCTGTGTCACACAGCAAGACCTTCAATTCCATCTGCATTGTGCTCAACATCTTAGAGGATTCAGATCCCAATGCAAAGCAATGCAAGTTTTGTGGCGATGCGGCGCTTTTCCACTGACCCGAAACGCCGAAAGCTCTCCCGGGCCACAAATCGCAAGGTGCTACGAGGGCTGCGATCCAGAGGCACCAATCGTTTCCAACATTGCAAGTCTTTTGCGAGAGGTTGCTGATCACAAGTTTGTCTTTCTGAGGCCCGATAAGGCCGGGATAGTGTACGGCGCCAGGAGTACCCATAATCCTAGAACCGTGTATAACCTCTTCCTGCCTCTATATACAAGCAGGCAGAGGGCTTCCTATCGATATAGATGATTCCTTTTTTGTTTAGGGGAGCGTTCTGACGACGATTTGCAGGCCCAAGGAATCTGGTATCCTCTTGAATACCCCCAAAGACACGGACCCACGAAAGAGGACCCACAAATTGCACCCCAGACGTGCAATTGTAAGTCCCGAAACCTGAACCCACCGCAAAGCGCTACTCTCCATAAGCCCTAGACCCCATAACCAATAACTTCACAAATCCTAACCTCCTAACCCTGATATCCCCATCCTTAGATCCCTTAAACAGGCTTGGTGGGATGCAAATCAGCCTCCTACAAGTCCCATGGCATAGTCGGGCTGCGGGATTTAGAGAGCTCAGCGATTTCATCGATGACGTTTTTGAGCTGGCTTGGTGGTGAGGGTTTCAGTTGTGGGGTAATACGGGTTAGGATTTTAGCGGTTGCAAGGTTTCGGAGGTGAAAGTTTAGAGGTCTAGCATTTGGGCATGTACCACGAGACTTTCAGCGGTAAGGTCCGGATAAAGAACGCGCACTGTATCGTTGTACTTCTGAAGGTCTGTTGGGTCTTCGGTCTTAGGTCTTAGGCGGGCCGAGTGTGGCAGGCTACTGTACCCAACGGCCTTGCTTGTGGGGAGGCAAAGACTGTATTGGGCCAACGGAACCTGATGACATGGCTTTGGCCTGGCAATGGCCGGTGGTTGCTGGCTCCCTTTAAACGTGAAGCAGGATGCAAGGGCTGGAACCTTCTATGTATGTCCAGCTAGCCCTGCTCCATTTCAATTCTTCCAACAGCCGGGCAAACACCAATGCCGGCATGTTGCAGAAGTTAGGAGCGCGGCTTAGAAAGAACAGGAGTAAGATCCCATTTTGACAATGACTCCCTGTGAGAACTCCTAAAACTCTGCACAAAGCCCCATACACCCTAACCCTTGTAAATCCTGTAAACCACATAAACCCCAAAACCTCATCCATGAGCCCTGAAACCCATGAGCCCCTAAACCACAGAATCGAGCCGAGGCTGAACCGCCACAGCCCTTGATTTCGTGGATTGGAGAGCTGCCACAGCATGTGCTGTTTTAATATTAATGGTATTTGGGCCCTAAAACCCTATTTATTTGGGCCCTATATCCCCCTATATAGTCCCCTAATTAATATGCCTATACTGTTCTGCCTGCAGCTTGTCCCCGTTCACATGGTGGCAGGCAGTCAAAATGTTGTTGCATTGGGGAGTCCTGATCGAAGGCATGAATGCTAAAGAAAGCATTTGACCGGCGTGGGACTCCCAGACCAGTACGACGGGATTACACTTGGGTTAACACACTCTGGCCCCTCAGCAGCTACAACACGTACTTCAGCGGAGCATCCCTTCCTGTTCGCTTCCTGGCAGCGTTTTTACGCATAAGCAGCGAAGATCCACAGCAGCCGCATCCATGTACATCTGTGGCAATCACAAAAAAGGCTCGCACAGAGCCGTACGTGGACAAAAAGCTTGGAACGACCATGACGGGTTAACCCAGTTTGGCCCCTCAGCTGGGAGGTAGGAGGAATGCGTGAGCGCAGACGCGCTGCGGAATGCTGTGCCAGGGCCCCTGCACTCTGTAAGACGAATGCCAGAACCGAGACGTTCCGGCCTGGCTTGCACACCCTGCCTCGCGATCTAAAAAAGGCCCTCATTTCAGTCAATGATTCGAAGATTGCTGGACTGACTACATCATTTTCAAACGGCGTATACGATTCCACTTTTGCTCAGCGGAATGTAACACCTGAAATCTACAGACTTAAGAAGGTTTCGGCGCTTAGAGCTACAGCGGGGGCCCTGTGAGCGTAGGTGGCAGGTGGTGCAAACTCCATTCCTATGGCTTTGCAGCGCAGAAAGTGACAGTTTCATGTTTGGCTGCTGGGTTGTCCTTGGAACGTCATGAGTAGCAACGCTCAAGTGTGAATTGTCTAACCAACTTGTCCGAGTCGCTTTTTCCGTACGCGGGCATCTTAGCCAGCCTGACGAAGAGTACAATATATGGGAAGAACGACGAACATCATTCCCTAACAACCCATATGCAAGTCCAGAGTAGTGACCTTGAATGTGGGAGCTTCTTTAATCTCTTTGATTCACCATGCCGCCTAGTACCCTAGCACTTGCCAGAGAATCAAGAACAGGATTTTTCTTCAAGCCCCACACGGTTCGGAAGGCTCTGGGTATTGATTTGCAGTCCAAGTTCTGGGTTATGCTATACTGCCAAGACCGAAAAAGTTCCAGATTGGCTGTTTTCATTGGCCTGGAACTCTTTGAGCAGCCGCCGATTATAGAGGGCCTCTTCATTAAAAGATGTCCAACATTACACACTATTCTTTTTGATTCATTGAGTCATAGAGAAACAACATCTTCTACCTTCAAGGGTTGATATGATGCTTCCTGATTTCTTCTGGATGTTTTAAGGGCACGTACTTAAGTGAAGGAGCCCGATACACGAAGTGAAGCCCCAAGTCTGTCTGACCTTATTGGAGGAGGCTGCAGCAGCAGCAGGAGTAGTACTCGTAGTAGTAGTAGTAGCAGCAGTAGTAGCCGTAGTAGCAGTAGTAATGATAGTGGTTGTGGTTGTGGTAGCAGTACTAGTAGCACTAGTAGAAGTAGTGCTGGTAGTGGTAAAGCTATAACCAGCAGTGACCTACATAGAAAGCTCCCACAAAGCAGAAAAGACTTCCTACACACCTTCTACCCTGGACCAAGCCCTCACCAAGTCTGTGATAATGAGTGCCCACCTCATGGTTTAGATGTGTGTCCTTCCACAACATGGCAGATTGTCATTCTCATGTTGAACGCTTAGAGGGAGAATGGAACGGGTTCTGCTTAAGCGGTAAATGTTGTAGCATCAAGCTTCTCAGTGTTGACGTCGCAAAAATAACTCGGACTCACCATGGCCACAAGTTCGCAATTCGAATTCGCTTAGCCCAGTGCCCCAAAGACAAACCCTGAATGCTCCAACTCTTGAGACAACAAACCGCCGTGGCATAATTTTTGCTCTACCATTTCTTGCTTTTGGAGTTCTTGCAGAAACTGAATGTAGCGGTCAGGTAGATATGGTTTTTGGCGCTCAGGCTGTCAAGGCTGAAAGCGCTGCAAGGCTGACTGTCAAGCACAGATCCCACACTACCAAAGTCTGGCCAAAGCAGCCTAGATTTTGTAGGTCCGGTCAAAATGAGGAAGCTTCAGTGTGTTTTCAGCTGTTGTACACGGAAAGCTCCTCCTTTACCTCCCACGCAAGTTGAAAGTGCCCTTACCTTGTGATGTCCTTGCTTGCAGCCTATTATAGCATTTTCTAGAGCTACTCCAACATGGTGTGATGCCACCTCCGGCTGTAGTACACCTCCTGTCTACAAGAAGTTGAAAAACACATTTTCTCCTTGGGATGAGGAATGCCGGCATTCCTTTCCTGTTCCATTGTTTGCTTCACGACATTTCATGCGGGGCTTGCTGACCGAATTTGGCTCCGCTGTGCAGAGCTGACTGGACGCGGGACCGGGGAAGCGACACGCAGGCGCTTCGATGTCCGTTCAACGGGTGTATGGCTTGTAGTGCAAGAAAGAAGGGATGTGGGAGGCTTAGTGGGGTGATATGATGGGAATCTCTCGATGCAAATTAGTGGACTGTTATGAGTTGTCTAGTCTTCTATTGGTTGGTTATGTGTTGTAAGGGATATTGCAGATGCTTCATGGCAGAAGCCCAGAATTGCATGGGTGAGCCACACTCACACAGTCCTACGGAATCTTTGGATTTCAACCCTAGCGTTGCTCTATCGTTGTCTTCAACTCCGGATCGCACTGCCTGACAAGAGCCCGTAGCCTCCCTGCAAGCCCGGTGCTTGGCGGTCCAATGATGCAGGCCATCTTCACGGAGACCTACCTATTAGTAGACATATGACCATCATGTAGGAGCGCACGCTTTGCACTCCCCACGGGCAAATTTGACTCGACGGCTGCCCGTTTCAAAGCATCTCTGTTTCATTGCAAATAGGTCCCAAAGCCCGTACGCCCGCACAGCCTAAACCAACGTCCGAAACCCCAATCCTAGAACCGAAGATGAAACCATAAAGCCTTAATCCAAAGCCACAAGCTCTGGCCTTGAATCATATGTTGAAGCTCTAAAACCAAATTCCTAAACGCTAAGCCCTGATTCATAAGACCCACCCATACTCCGTAGATCCCTCAACCCTAAACCGCAGCCCCTAAATGCTGTATGGTTCCTTTCGAGCCAGGCTCCCTCAGCAGCATGATTGGTGGATATCCTGGGCCCGGTCCTCAACAAAACGCTGGAACGGTCCCATCCCCCGATGAGGACGCTCCTTCCCATATGTGTATATATATATATGTATATAGATAGGAATACATGGGGTTGAACTGCTTGGAGGAGTAATTGCTGCTCCAAATTGCCTGGAGCGCAGCGTTCCTCTGTTGGAGGCTTTCAGACGTTCAGTACACACGGGATGGTTTCGGGAGACTGGGGGGGATTCAGTAGGCATTACGTAGCACGTCTGGAGCAGCTGCATACAACACTCGTCTGATACTTACACAAGTGTTATGCCCTGAACGACCTCCCCATCTGCCCTGCTCCGATCCCAGGGCCTCCAACCAAGTTGCCTGTACTTTTAGCCTGGAGATGCCCAAGCTCTAAGTCATGAAGCAGGCAAAAAAATGTGAACTCTTACTCCTCACCTCTCAACTTTGATTTTGCGGTGTGAAGCCATCAGGCCGCCCCCCTGGAACCATAATTGATATTTAGTTCTCAACCAAGGCACTGCTTCATCCGGGCTTTGGGCAGCAACCTGTTTGATATTTTTGTTTTATCCTAAAATAGTTCACGTGAACTTACGTGAAGTTACGTACATACGCCATGTATATCTCGTCTATAAATCCCATAGCTCCCAGATCTCCTTCACATCCCCGAAGCCCTCAGCCCCACATCTGAAACCATATAGCTCTTGGATGCTTTGGTCTGGGCTTCCTTGCTCCAGGCGGTCGCGCGCCCAAACGGAGGCTAGCGGTGTTGCACGATTTATAAATGTAGGTTTAATAAATAGACCCTTAGTGAGATCATGAGTATATGAATGGCAGCCAAGACTGCTCAACAGGCACTAGCCTTGAGGGCTTGTGTAAGCTTTTCGTGTGGATGGTTTTTTGAAGCTTAGAATGCAAGTTTTCCATGTAGGGCCGAAGGCAAGACAGGGCCTAGTTTGCAACAGCACACCCAAGTTCACAAAGACTGGCAGCGTAGTTCATCAGTTGGGCAGAAATGCCATGGTTTGCCATACAGTGACCCATTTTCTTCAAAGCATCTCAGAACCATTAAGTCTTGGCGAACTTGCTCATGTTGTAGCTTTGCTTGTGGAGTGGTGGGCCTCAGCGCTGGGATTCTCTTCTAAGGGCAGTAAGCAGGGCTCAAGTGCATCCTACTGCAAGTAACGGACGGGTCCATGCCACACGCAACTGCACCTCCACCAAGTCTTGAAGCACATACCCTACATACTTTGTGCGATACTTCATCCCATGCCTACCTGTCTTTGGTAGTTTGCCAAGCTGAACACGGCTTCAAGGTACGGGCCGGTCAGCATAAAGGTCATAAGAGTTTCCTGGACATTACTTTGAGTAGGCCAGTGTGCGCGAAGTGGAGTTCCTACAGGTGTGAGCAAGGCATGAGGATATCTCAGAAAGGGCGCCTTGAAACGGGTGCTCCCTAGACTTTCAAAGCTCAATGTGCCGCTTCTCAGATCGCTCCGAGAGCACAAGATCCGCTCTGCACTCAGTTTGAGGGCTGAGGGTTTAGAAAGCATCTATACAGCGTCTCTGGTAATCAAGGGCATGGGAATCTTGAGGAAATGACGGAGCTCAAGCTTATCTAGTCATCAAGGAGCCTCCCCAGTACCGATGGGATGTGGGGCAAGAATCTGCCATATGCTTTTGCTGTCTTCGACAGACCACAGCTGCGTCACATGCCCTAAATTCAAGGTTCGGCATTGGCATGTTCGATGACATGATGATGCAGCCTTTCGGCGGCCGCAGCCTCTGCACACACACCATAAGTGTCCAGATTGATGCCACCAGCATCGCGCTACGAGTCCCTGTGTGAGCAAGTAGTTGTCTTTCCGCATCAAGCAGTCGAGTACTTGGTGTCTCAGCACGTGGAAAGAGCTGGGGCTAGATGGTTGCAAATTACCGAGTATCCTAGACATTGCTTGTTGCTCTTGAGGTCACGTTTCATGGCCTACTGTTCTGCTCAAGAGAACCGGCTGCGATTTGAGAGCGAGAAGCGGTAGCAATATGTTCCAGCCGAGAACCCTTCCCCAGAGCCCCCCCCATATCCAATTTTCCAACCACAAGAAATGGACTTCAAGCATGCAGGCCGCATTACGGGGCTCTCCCAAGATGCGACCCGCATAAACACTGTAGTCTCCAAAGCTGCTAGTGCAGTCTCTACAGACCAGTTGTCCTGACTCTTACCAATGCTATTTGGGACAACCTCATGTGCAACAATGTTGCAGCCCCCAGCTTACATATTGGGCTGCATAATACTTAACCACCCGCGCCAGAAAATTAAGTTCTGGCACAGCGCGAAGTGCAAAAGCAACATGTGGGCATTGCCTGGAAACTATGCAGGGAAAAAGACCGATAGCAAAAGAACGCAAAAGAAGAAAGTCCCAAACTTGAAAAAGCCACAGGGCACAAGAGGAAAGCAAAGCCAAAACAGCATTCCGGGTCAAGCCAAAGCCAAAAGGACGTTTGTAGCGCAACCCTGTTTGTCAAAAGAGTTCCGAAGGTATCTGCAGGGCTTGTTCCAGGTCCAGGTACGCCTTAAACATTGTGTCCTAAGCCTTCAACCTTTCACTTAGGGACCGAATCCAAAACTTGAATCCTGTAGCACGTGCCTTCTTGACCATGATTTGAGGCCCTCCTGCAGGCGGTCTGTTTGGCTCCATGTTTGGGCAGATGAACCGCATGATGCAGGCAGGCGTCAGGGCCTAGTTGCTACTTCGGTTGAAGATGCTAGATTGAGCGCAGGCCTCGCAACGCAGATAGAGCTTTGCATGTAAAAGAATGTTGTTACACACCCTTGCTTGTCACTTCCATTTCCACTTGAGCGGACTAGTAGGTTTTTGACTGTTGGGGACAGGGAGCTACAATAAACAAGCCTTCAATGTCTGTGTAGTCCTGCGTGGTATCGAGTATGGGCGTCAGGCTCTTGAGCACCAACATGCGTTGGATGTCACTACTAGCCAAGATTTTGTGGTTCCTTCTTTCGGGCCATTGGCTTAAACTTTGAAAGCAAAGCCTCGAAGCATTAATCCTAAACCCTCAACATGTTACCGGGTCTCCGCTGGAATGCTGGGGATGTCTGAAAAGTCCGCATAGGCCACGTCAAGTTTTGCTTGCACAGGAAATACTAAGGGCGGAACCATGTTGGTATAGTTTAGCCTGAGGACCCGGGGTTCAAAGTTCAGGGTCTAGCGTAGGATAAAGCTGGCATTGCATAAAGCTTGCTGATGTCATCACCCGTATTGCTTTCTTCTACACCTAGCCATCACCCTGGATGAATTTGTGAGTCTCACATCTCAGTTCCAAATTCCCCCAAGTTTTCACCTGCCAGGAGTACCCCTAGCACTGCAATCCAATATTGCACGATGCTAATCGCTGTAATCCCTTCATTGAAAGGCTCAACTTATCAGCTCGGGGCCAGGAGATGGACACCATGATGGGTGCACAGATGAGGGGTGGCATGATGGGCCCGATGGGCCCGGATATGTCAGCGCCCATGCGGGGCTGGGATTTAGGATGGTTTGGGGAGAAAAGGTGTGGGGTTTAGGGCTCATCCGTTTTAGGGGGGAGGAGGACCTCAGGGTGAGTGGCTTGGAGATCTACGGTTGAGGGTCCTGACGCAGTAAGTAGATATTTCGTCCGCGCGACAAGTAGTGCAAATGGACCCTGAGAAGCGTCGTGTTGACTCCATTAATGTGCAGCGTGCGCCGCGCTGTAGAAGCAATTGTAACAGTCATTCAGCCATGCAAGCCCAGGCTCCGCAGGCGCAGGTACAATCATGTCATCTCAGGAAGTTCAGGTTCTGCCAGGCTGGCACTTGACGCGTTCTCTTGTTTTCGCAGGTGCGCAGGTAGCCTTGAGGCAGGATGCCGAACAGCATTAGAAGGACCCTACTGTAGCGAAGGTGGCAAACCCTGGGCTCTGGGCTCTTAAGCTGAGGTTTGATGGCGGGCGAGGCAGCATGATGATGATGAGTGGCTTCGGCGGTGGCGGCAATGGAAGCCGGGAAGCCCTGTGCGTCAGGACTCTGCTTTTGGATTTCAGAAGCTCCGAAGATGGTTTTGGATCCCTGTTCTCTGTCTTGTGCTGGGGATAGCGAGTAAGATTGAAGACTTGTGAAGCTGTTTTGTTCTGTCATGTAGTCAAATCTTGTTCCCCTGAGAAGAGACCCCGAATTTCGGAACACCGCTAAAAGGGTGACATTTCAATTTCCACAGGGGCATCATGAAGGCCATCAGGCATGAAGACGGAATCTTCTTCATGATCAGGCTGACTGATTGTCTGGAAGTGTTATCCTCGGAAGCGACTGCTCGTCGCCGTTATATGCTAGCCAGATTGGCACGCCCACAGCAGCCAGCGTCGCAGCAACCTCTAGGAGCCTGACGTGATTAATAACATGGTTCCAAGATGTTCCAAGAGCAAAGAGGACCCGGAAAGCCCCAGCTTCGAACTTCGTTAAGCTTACGGAACAGAGCTTTTGCTTGCTGGTGCCAGCGCGTACACTGTACACGTTAAGTCGATTAACAGCAGATCCTTCCACTCGAGGTTGGCAATCCTGCAAAGACCAGGAAGAAAGAACGCCAGAAACTTCTGCTACAAGCAAAAAATTGAAAGGACAATCATAACTTTAACTTGCTGCGCGTGGGGTGGATCCCGTGGCAAATCTGTGCAACTCCATGGACTGAGGCTTCTCCTCCCAGACGTTCTCATTTTCCTCCCACATGGGCCGGAAGCCTACTGCAACACGTACAGTCCCGCAGATAGAAGCTAGAAACACACACACACACACACATCTCCTGTATCCCCTGACCCCAAGACCCATGATATTTTACTATAGGGCATACTTGGAGTGTAGCATGACCATGTCTAGGGCAAACTAGAGGCTGCACGATAGGAACAAAACCCATTTACCTGGGAAGCTTAGGCACCAGTAGTCAGGCTCATGTGAAGGGTTGTCAAGATTGTCTCTCTTTCCTTCACAGAAATATGACGGGCCGTAGTATAACAGACCCCCCAAAGTGACCGTGAGTGTGACAACCCTATGCATCACTGCACTGCTAAGATCTGCTTGCTGGCTATAGGGCCGGTAATTGGCTCAGCCTCAAGAGTTTTGGGGACTTTTTTGGAAGCTTGGGAATGATTGGAGAAATTTCGGGCTCACCGGTCGTTCTCTTCAAGGCATGATTCCTGCTGCTAATGATGTACCAGCATCTTCTAAGGCCTGCTAAGTACGTATCAGATTTTGCAGCAGACGTCATAAAAACCCTGACAAGGACAACTGAACAAGATCGGGGAAATGGATCTTTATGGTCATTCATCGGCGGGCCATGGTACACAGGTAAAAGGAAAATGACCCCACTCCGAGGCCCCCAAGCCCAGGGCCTAGCCTGCACATGGCTCTCGCCAGTATAGTATATTATTGCATGGTTTTGTGGATATTATACGGGTACACTTTCGTTTGCCGGCTCAATTTATTGTGTGGGTGTCCACAAATGGTAGATTGCAGGTGCAGACGGACAGGTCCACACGGAACAGCCCGGTGCCAAGTCAATCCCAAGCTTCTTGCTTTGAGACCTGACTTACTTGTGAAGGTACCAAAATTCCAAGTAGGATGAATGGAGCTATGCCTGGATTGAATCCAGGCAACGTAGAGGCTGTCCAAGAAAAGGCCACGAGGTGCCTGGGACATCATAGGACTGCCCAGCGCTCCATTCCAGTGAAGGCCGCAACAAGCTTTTAGCGACTTTTCAGTGTAATCCTTTCCCCGTAATACTAAACCTAACCCTCGAGGCAAGGAACAGTGGTCCCCGCAGAGGAATTCCCTGAAGACTACTTGAAAAAGAAGCAGACTACTTTTGAAAGGAATCCTCGTAAGAGTTCTAAGGTCATTAGGGCGGCTGCTAGAAGGAATCCAAAAGAATTTGGAAGTTCCCCTTCTTTCATATGGCTCTCATGTAGGGTTTTTTTTCTCACAGGACGTTATTGAACTGTAATTGGTCCCCCTAATTTCAAAGAGATTCTGGTATTGATTTTACTTTCATTGTGAATTGATCTTCCCTGGATGTCAGTTGGTTTTGCTTAGGTTTCAACTGATGTTAGTTAGGTTTGAATGAAATGTCAAGCGATTTCGAACGAGACCTTATTAAGATGTTAAACGGATTTTAATTGCATTCCAATGGATGTTAACAAGATTTGCTTATTGGTTTCAATTTGAAGGAAGTTTCACTTGAGTCTGATTAGAGTTTAAATCCATGCTCTTGAGATTTGGAACTGGTTCTAATTCGTTTTCAACAGGTTTCAGCTAATTTGATGAGATCCCATATAAGTCTTTGCGATAAACACATTTGGAGGGTTGTTTAACTAGGGGGGAGGAGGGGCACATTTTTTTATTGCAAGGAAAGGATTATATCAATTACTATGAGATATAGTAGGTTACGGCACAACATGTGGTATCTGCAAGGTTCGTGTGAGTCTGCTGCTGTACCTGAAAATACAGGTTTGCAGGCTACAGGCCAGTGACCAACAGGCGTTCGCAAGCTGATACGGCGCATACTGGCGTGGCACAAAGTCATGGCTTGATGATGATGATGATGGTGATGATGACGGTCACATTGCCTGGTATTAATCTCTACAATAGGTCATGACAGTTAATGACGATTCTGAGAAAGCATTGGCATTCTTTCTAGCAGCGCCGAGTCCTTCCATTGCGGAGCTCCTTGCAGCAGAATCCGCGATGACTCAAAACATTGGTCTGCGAAATACTGCAAGACCACCACTATGAAGAGTGTGCTGGAATGCATGCAGATCTTTTTATCCTACATGAATCGTACACCTTGATAGTGGCATAATGTTTCCCTACTTTGGCAAATGCGTCCTGATGTTGGTTGGAGCACCTTTTGCTGACGACTACAATAAATCTGCTCAGGGAACATTCCCTGCATTGGATTCATAGCGCAGCAGCCTTTACGAGCAACTGTTCTCCCTAAACATGCCATAGTGTATCTCTCAAACTTTCTATAGTGAAGCGGTGACTGCCGTCACGCATCCCTGATGCATCGGTCTGTCTGCAGGTTTGCTTCTAGCGCAGTGGGGGACCGGAGCCAGAACATGCATGAAGTCCAGCAGGCAGGAAAATCTGCTGGGTGTGGACAGCGGATGTAGACCGACTTGGCAAAGTCATCCCCTGACGACCTTTGTAATGCAAGTATGCAGGATATACTGGAAGTATTCAACTTTTTGAGGAGCCCCGCAAGTGGTTGGCAGAGTGTGCAGGAGGCGCTAAGCGTGCTCTAGACGTCCGCTCAGGAAATTGAGACCGCTGGTAGTAAGAAGAGCTGATAATAGGCGTCATGCTGCAAGTATAGCAGTGGCAGTAGCACTGCTAACTATAGTAGTACTGTAGTAGCAGTAGCAGGTGATACTCCTATCTAAAAGCGGTTGAAGGATGTAAAAGCCTGGTAGTCTAGTCTGACAGCAGCAGCACGCAATATAACAGCATAATTACTGTATGTCTGAAAGGTAGGAGTACCGGTACAAAAGTTCTGATGATAGGTCCAAATATCGAGATAGTAAATAATTTGGGCCCAAAGTATCCGTGTAGCAGGCCCTTGGTCACCAAGCTACATCCACTTTAGGTTCGTAGGGCCCCTAGGAGTGGTTTGCAGAATTTGGAGGCGTACAGCAACAGCCGGACAGGGCAGGATAAGATGCCGCGAGCTCAGCTGAGAAGCTGCAAAGCCATCCTTCATAGGAGCCCCAAACATACAGTAGCTGGGTAGTTGGGATTTAGGCAAGTAAACGTGATTGTAGCGCACGCCTTGGGCGAGGGCTTTGATCCGAAAGTCCCCAAACAGGTTGAGACTGCGCTTTGCCTCTTTGAGGTCTCTGGAGCGACAGTTGGATGGCAGAGGGCGGAAGATGGTCAAAGAAAGGCTCCGCTTCCTGAAGCAGAAGCTTGACCCAATGGGCAAGAGTATCAAATGGGTCACGGGGATGTATAGTAGCTCAAGAAGGGATACATAGGAAGACCCACAAGTACATCTAAACTCTTGTTTTACGTACATAAAGTTCAGATGAGATCCCATAGACATACGCTTCTTGGCCTAAGTAGATACTAGTTTGGAAATTGGGGCGGCCGCCAGAGAAAGTGATCACTGAAGTTTAATGAAAGAAGCGCACGTCACTCCCAGTCACGGGGGCCAGTACTGTGGGTTAGCAGGGGACTTTCACCGTTGTTTGTAGTTTGCTCGGCCTTTCTCTTGTGAAAATAAGTCAAGGTCCAACCTAGCAGGCCCCACCAACACTCCTTAGCCACTGACATTGCTCTGCTTGCGTGGCGCATACTTGAAAAGCTATGAGGTAACGTCACCACGGCACAGGAAATCGTGGGGGCAAGCCCCTCACTGCAGCCATGGCCCATGGACCTTGCGCACACTCCAACCCGCATTTCAAATCTCATCATCATAGTCCCTACTTCCAAGGTCTCTGCATGGAACCCTACATTTCACGCGAGAGCCCCGGCTTGACCTGCAGTACCCCGTCAGCCCAAAACCTTGAAAGACAACACTGCAGTCTCAGTGAATCAAAACTTGCATAGATGTAGACCCTGGAGTAAGATCCCTCGCAGCTTGAGCCTATACGCAGGACTCGCGGTACAGGTGAAGAGCGCCAGACAGACATGTTCAAGGGCATGTCGGAGGCAGAGTCTGCAAGATTCAGAGGAGAGTCTGGGAAGACGAGTTTTTGGCCTAGGGATTTAGCTTATACTCATAGTAGCAGTGGCTGCAGTACATACTGTTGGGAGATTCTCCTTTTCCCAGGTCACAGCCTAGAGTGCTGATGCTTCTGCTGCTGCCGCGGCAATCCTAGGTGTGTCTTTGTTTTGCTCAGCCGGTTTGTCTGAGCTTGCTGATCATGGAGACATAGTGCAACTTGATGTCAAGCCTTCCCTGCCCGTAATCGTCCGCATGTGAATCAGAACGATGCCGCTGACTTCGACCAAGATTGGTTGCGACGCGCCGCAGGGGAGCTCGGATAGCATTGAAGACTTTTTCTCTGCTTTGTACAATGCATATGTCTGTAGCATGTACAGTCCCATCAAACCTTTTAAGAGCTCTCCCAGTTCTGTGCCCTCGTGTGGTAAAGTTTCATGTCCTGTCAGAGGCAAGGTTGAGTCTTCCACTAGAAGTTGCTGATTCATATGGACTTCTTGAATGTATTTTCTTTGGAATCCGAATCCTCAGACGGCTGTTGAAATACGAATGCTGCAATCCGACTGAAACAGCCCAAATGAAGCATAGGTCATGCATCGACATTTTCCTGTGGAGGAAGCATCAGATTGTGATACCGTGATCACATCTCCGTCCCTCTTGTAGCATTTAAGTAAACCTGCAGATTTGCAAGAAAGGGCCCCTCCGCAGAATCCTGATACCTACAGACGCATGACTGCACTTTGCGCCGACCACATGAAGCCGTAAAGAGGTGGCCTGTGCCTGAAGTCCTGCAAGAGTTACATAACCTGTCGGCGGCGAGCATTCTGCACCCCACGCCAGGAAAAGGGAGACACGATTTCGAGAACTACCTCGTAGCGCATAATCCTTACATGTCCCACGCCCGAACCCCCAAATGCCTGTGGACCATATCCTTGCAACCTGGTTCCACAAGGTCCCTGCCTTACCGCAGCACCAGCAGGCCCACACGTCTCTGAGCTAACTTAGTGCTAATTTATACGTACCTATCTGTACGGTCCTCCAAAGTTGAGGTTTTGTGATTGTTTCCTTGTGTGCTCTTGCGACCCTGCATTGAGGTCTAGCAGGGACATTTACGGTTAAAGAAACGGCACCTGGGCCTTGGGATATAGGAATGTGGGACGTATGTTTGCCAATATAGTCGCATTGACAGAGTATTGCGCCTGCAGCCGAGGGATAGACAGAACGATTTCAGAAGTATTTGCGTAGTTCCCAAAATTAAGGTCCCATTTGGTACCCTAATAAATCTATAGCCAGAAGAGGCCCATAGTTCTGAGAATAACCATGAATAACCCATATTCAGAACGGATCTGCTCAAAGAAAATGGCATGGATTTTGAGATGACTGACTTGCCTCAGATCTTAGCTGAACTTTGCATTTCTAGGACGCCGCTGCCTCCTCCACTGAGGGGCCCAGACTTCAAATGTAAAGTGTCTTTTTCAGGAAGACCATGTTTGAAGATTGTTCCCGAGTGCGTGTTCAGCGAGCTCATGTCTTAATATGGATCTACATTTCTTCAACACCAGCGGAAAATCTTCTCCAAGACAAAAAGAAAGGCTCAACACTTATTTGCATGCGACTTACATCGACCCCGACCAATTTGGAGCAGGGCTTCCAGCGCATGATGCTGGGCGACCATGACAGATACGGCCCAGGTTCCAACATTAGGGCAGGGTTAGAATTGGGGATGTTTCAGGACTGATGGGTTAAGTTCGCGGGGGCTGATCCTTCGCCGGCACAGCTGCAGTGGTGCAGCTAAAGCTTCTCTTGAAGGTGGCAATTCCCGAAATTACGTCCTCCGCAAAGAGGTTGTTAAGCAGGTTATTAATCAGGAGACGTGATCATATAGGAACTTGGACCCTTAGAGGGTCTACTTTCCGAAGACTTGCTTTGGATCCTGCAAGCATGTCGTTGCTTCTTCTGTCATTCGAATCCATGCAGAAAATCTTGCACTGCTTTCAGCAATCACAACTTAAGATTGTGGAAGCCACCCTGAGTACAAGCATCAGCCAGTAAGTTGGGTATGTAGCCTAACCCTTTTCCTTGAGGCCGCTGCTCAACGACCTGGTAGGGCGAAACCTGGACACTCCTGGCGCAGTAGCACCTAGCTAGCAATCTTTATTGGCCAAGCCTCCAGACTCCCAAGCTGTACTTGCTGGGGGGTTTAGTGGAGAATAAGGGAATGCCATCCCGATACCAAATTGTAGGAATCCTGCATCCTAAACCGTACAGCTGGAACACTGAAGCCTCAAAATCCCTCAGTGTCTAGGGCAAACATGTGTATGCTTGGAGATTCTGAGTGTGATGAAAATATCCAATTCTACTCACGAAGAAGACCAGCGATCGCTTTCCTCCTGTCACGCCCAAAGTTGTGTTGGGGAGGACGCGCGGCGACTGGCAGCTTGCGCTCAGCACAGCCCGCTAAGGCCTTGGTGTTTATCAGAAGAGTAATACGTGTTGTAACTCTTGTTTACAGCAACATTTGTGCTTTGTCTTGTTGAAAGGTTCAGGGCGCAGGGTGAAGGGTTTAGAGTCTGGGGCTCACGGTTGGCTACTTTAGGGCTTTGGATTTTCCAGCTGAGCACTTTGGTGGCTGGCAGAGCTTGGGAGCTGGGATTCACTTGCTGCGTATGGGGCTACACGTTACCTGTACATGTTGTAGCTGGAGGAATTGAGGTGTGGAGTTGAGCTGCCAGCATTCTGGCTAGTGTTCAGAGGATTAGGCTTTTTGTGGCCAGACCTGCAGTAATTAAGACATGAGGGGGTTAGCGTTGTGGATTAGCGCCAAGGGCTATAGATCCGAAGCCCTAAAGAGCCCCCTAGTCCCTATAGCTAGGTAACGAATCTTGCGGGCATCGAAAAGGACTTCTCTTGCAGGCCTAAGTGGGCGGTTCGATCCCTCGGCCGCCGGCCATCAGAGAGATTCCCAGAATGGCCTTTGGAATTTCTGGCTTAGTAAACCTGACAAAAAGCTTCAATCCATCCCAGAACGGAGCTCCCCACACCTTTGGCGCCAGACATGCCGAACAACTTGCGATCGGAAAGCACTGAATTCGAATGAGCTATGCCCAGCTCATCTATTTGGAAGGCTCCCCCTTTATAACCCCTATAACTATCGCTCATTTGGGCTTCCTTGCAGCCAAGGCCCTCCCCTCGGCCGGCTACGGTGAGGGCAGCTACGAGCGGAGCGTGGGCCAGCCGACTGCACTCCCCGCTCGGGAGGCGGGCAGTCTTCTCGTACGTTTCGTAACTTGTATATTGGGGTTATATAGGGGTTATATAGGGGGTTATAAGGGGGTTTTATTGGGGTATAGTATATTTTGGAGTCGCTTTGAAATGGCCTAGGTCTAGGTGTCGTCTCAGCATGGGTGGAGGTTATCATATGTACTTTTCCCAGGAAAGAAACGTCATGCCCAATGTTTGCATATTGCGTGTGGTATATAGATATTAAATATACTATGGCAATAGAAGGTTATTTCATGCAGAATTTCAGGGCTTTCGGGTGTTCAGTTGTAGTTCAATACGAGGCTTCATGAAGCTGCTGTTGGCAACACATCTGGCTAGAGCTTCAAAGCAGGACCTGCAGCTGTTGATGAACTCATAAATCAAAGCCTACAATCAAGATTGCAGTTTGCATCCAGAATGCCGAAGCATAATGATTCTGAAGCAGCTGTGGGCACTGCTATTTGTGCTTTTCTGAGAACCATTGAGAATCGACTCTCCCAGCTTTATACAAGACTGCAGGAGCCAGTTTGGATCACGGAGGTTGCGGGAACCTCACAGGAAAACATTTAATATGAAGAGCCGAACAGCCGTAGAAGCCCAGACGCAAAACTGCCATCATGTAGACATCAAAAGGTGTGGCAAGGTTCCTCTAAATGGATACTAGCTTGGCTTCGGGGCGGAGGTTATAGGATTCGAGTCTGAGGGTCTCCACGTTCACTTGGGTTGAATGACTTCACATGGCTGTGGCCAAGCCGAACCACGGAGGTTGGCTCCAACGACTACCGTCCCTACGAGTCCCGGTCCGTTGGGGCGCTCGGCAGTTCAGACTTCAAAATCAATGGCCATCGTTATTGTGATCTAGTATCCAACACAGTTGACAAAGGCATTGTTGGGGGCAGGTCTTACAGAAGGTGTCATAACCTCGTGGCGTAGATACGAGGCATCAAGGCCTGATGTGAATACTAGGCCAATATGTCATCTGGGTCTGGCCGCAGTCCCTTGACGCTCACAGCGCAGCGCGTTTTCTGTGATTGGTTTGCGAAATGCTGAAAGCTGGGGAACTATTGGCTTGGCTATGGTGAAGAAATGCATCACTGATTTTACTAAGACCGTCACAGGTGTTGTTCATGCAGGCGCCAGTTTCCCGGTATATTGGTCAGGGCCAATCACTTCTAAAGCTTCTCTCCGTGCATCTATCATTGAGATTTTCCTGCAATTTGAGTGTTGTTGTTCGGCTAGGCAACTGGGTGATTGTTGGATATAGCCGCCTCAGTTTTAGTTATTCTCACGCCCAATGAGGGATGCACAAGAGACTAATAGTAATCCAAGCGGAACCAGTTAAGGATGCCGAGGTAAGGATTGCCATTGTTGAAGCATCTCAGCCTGCAGGGAACAAGCCGGTTAAATTAAAAGAGAATGGTTGCCAAGCAAGCCTCCAGCTAAGACCCTTGCGGCTGTGAACCTGAAAGTCTATGCCATCTACTCCTAGCTCCGCATTCTCCGCCTGCAACTTGTTAGACAAGCGCGGAAAAGTAAGGTTCCCAAAATGGCAAGATGTCAAGTTTGCTTTGGTCTGCAACAAGGATCCAACGACTGTATTGGTAGTGTGCAAGGCAGTGGTCTCGAAGTTCTTGTCAAGAACATGGAATTTCTTGTCCCCATCATCCCTTCTTGAAACTGCATCTTGAGGCGCCGGTGACCGTTCCGCCACGGAGGTCGTGGAGGGCTGGGGTCATCAATTCTTTTCTGGGAATGCTTGGGGCGCAGGCATAATGATTCAGGACGTGCGGTTGTCTTGATTCACCTGTGCTCGCTTGCGGCAGGTTGTTACATGCAACATGTAAATCCTGGCTGGAAGAGCTCAAACAAATCCAAACAAACATTGGGTGCTCCTAGAGATTCCAGGACAGGCGCCCAAAGCTAAGGTTTCTGGGTTCAAGGTTTCAAGGCCCCGAATACAGGTCTTCACAGCTTTTTGGAACTTTATTTATTCCCTCCGTCCGTCTTCAGAAATGAAGCCGAAATCTCAATTGCAGTTTGACTTTGGACAGGTAATGCATGGTCCCGACTGCCAAAGAAGTATGAAGGAGATCAGTGCGTGAAGTTTTCATGAACAAGCTTGGATTTCAACACCATCAAACCCAAGCCTTCCCTACAGCTTAAGGGTCAGCCCCTACTCCCCTGTAGGCACGTTTCAAAGCGTTCGCGAAAGACTTCAGCCCTCTCCTGTCTTGCTCGCGGAAACGACCTGGATGCAGTACAAGAGAGCCCTTCCGAAAAGAGTGTTGTGTTGGTTTCAGTCCTTAGCTGCATGTGTCTAAGTTGCAGTCCCGACACAGAGTCCTGACAGGAAAGCAAGCATAAGGACCGCCCCGCCGTAAGTACATCCCATACATGGCGGTGTCTCAAAATGAGGGTGCCCGGCCAAAAGGTGGCTGTTATAACGCACATTCCAGGAATCGAACCGTAGAATCCTGGGACACCTTCATGCGCTCCTTGACTTAGTGGTGGTTAGTAGGGAATGAGAGAAACTAATCACTAATCCCTATTCAACCCCAATATACTATATACCTTTCTTCCCTACGAAGCCCCAATAAGTTGATGATGGTCAGGCAGACGACGTGGAGGCTGGTTGAAAGTCATGGGGATACTTCTTGAAATGGGAAACCTTTGTACACAGCTGGTATTGAGGAGCAATAAGGAGATTGCAGGGCTCCCGGGTTCCCCCGGGTTTGAGAA